AGAGAGAGAGACCTGATCCCAGCCTCCCATCATCTGATGCTCATTCATCCTCCTCCTCCAGCAAGACCTCAATGAGACGCCGCGATAACGGACAACCATTGTTGTTTCATCGCTCTCCTCCATGAATTCATCTTCTGTTCACCTCTGGATGCGTAAATGGTGGTCTTTCTTCAACAGTTACTGCCACATTTAGCCATATTGTTTCCGTTTCTGAAGCGCTGTTCTCGTGTTTGGAATAAAATAGCGCACAAACCGAAACTGAGGAAATAGAGGTTGACAATGAAGAAGCAATACACTTAAATCTGGACATATCGACAGATATCTACAAAAAGGTGGTTTACCAAGGTAACGTTTCCTTTCGCAACCCACTTAAACAGTCAGCATAGTCTCTGTGGAGATGCCTGTTTGTCATGTTTATGATGCATATTTAAGCCTAACATGTTCGTACATTTTGATTTAATGCACGAGGTTTTAAAGATTGCTTTAATAGATGGGTTAAAAAAAAACATTTAACGTGATTTAACAATTATTAGTTCTTTCGATAGCCTATAAGAAGCTGATAGGATCAAATGTGAGTTGAGTGGCTTTGTTTAATACAGTTCAGCATTATCACATAGCTCACATTACAAACAACATCAGGCTACACTGAACACCTACACGACTGCAGTCAACTATTCATTACTGCAAATGTCGTTTATTCAACTGCTTCATTTGCATTGTAACGATCGGCGACAATCCCTCATTTCTACTACAGTGCACAAAAACACAAACACGTTATTTGTCAATCTAATAATTAACAGTTTGCAATTAAGACGTCTCAAATGGCATTAAGATCATAAACGTATAATGTAAGCATTGACATCAGCTCCCTCCTTCAGTTGACCGTAAATGGATGCGTTTATAGCCATCATCTGCGTTACAGTCAGTGTTAATATATTACTCATCAGGTATTACATATTCCTCATCAATTTTTTTGGAAACTTGGCTGCTTTAGTATTCCAAGCAAGCAATCAATTTGGTATCTTGTTCTATCATGAATCATGTTTTTGGATAGCTATGTGTTTATCCATCCAAGATGACAAGATCAGATGATATAATCTAAGATAACCTTTTTCAGCATTAAGATAAGAGACGTTAAGATTTACCATTTATTTTTTGCCACTTAGGAACTAACCAACATTTATGCAACTATAAACACGTTTCTTCTACTGGATAAACAGCTACATTTGCGAGGCTTTAAGTGTACAGATTAACATTGTGGATTTTATCTTAAAACAAAGCATGCTTACCAAAGTGGCTTGCTAATATAACAATGTAAACATTAGTCATAACTCTTTACAATAAGGTCTCATGTTACAATTAGTTAATGCTTTAACTGCCATGAACTAACAATTAGCAATGCATTTATGTATTAGTCTTTACTTATAAGCAACAACATGTCTACAGGGTGACTGCTAAAATAAAGTGCTGCCTACAGTTGTGAAAAGGAAGTGTGCTCAATTGTATTGAATGTACATTTGTGGAGTACTTCAAATCTTAAAGGTATATTTAACTGTACTTGCAGATAATATAATTTTAATAATGAAAGAAAAGGCCACTTACAGTAAGTGTACTTAAAGAGAATGCACTGAACATGACTGTTTAACACTTAAGTACATTTTTATATAGTGCACTTTGTAATAATTAAAAATTAAAAGTTTTTCTTTAAAGTACATTTTAAATCATTGTTTTAATGCCATTTGCCATACTTTAAAGAAATACACTTATTTTGATGCTTTGACTAACATAATCAAACATGTGAAGTACTTATTTAAAGTAATATATTTTAATTGTACTAAATTGCAACTTCATCATGTGTACTCAATTGTGTACTTAATAATATATTTACATACATGACAAGTTTTGGTTACACTTTATCTTGTTGTCCTTGTTACAGTGTAATTATACATATAAGTACTGAGTAATATTAATTAACTACATGTACTTACTATATGGTTAGGGTTAGAATTTGGGTTTGGCTTAGGGTTAGGGTTACTTGCATGTAATTATGCATAATTCATTGTTATTATAATATTAAGTACATGTGATGTGTAACAAGGACACCTTAAAATAAAGTTTTACCCAAGTTTCAAAGACATGACAATGACGTACGTTTTAGTTTACCATAAATGTCTGTCAGTACATTCAGAAGTACACTTTAAACATATTTTTAAAGACAATGGAATTATTACTTAAGTGGGTCAAAAAAAAAAAAAACTAAAACCTTCAGCTAAAGTCTAAACTACATTTAATATACAGTCAATTTAAAAAATAATACATTTTCATTTAATTGCAGTTAACGTGTACAGAAACACTACATTCAGTTTGTCCCTAAGTATATTTGCACAGTTTGCAATAAGTATGTTCTTTTAAAGTATATTATTAACATTCAGAGGTTAAAAAATGTACTAATACAGCTTTATTTCTGCCAGTTATGTTGTTCTGTTTATTTTATATTGAGAACTATTGAAAATTAGTTTTAATGAGCATGTGGAGTCATCAAAGACTGATGCCAAGGCTTTAATTACAGTGTTTTTAAAAAAGTGTTATAACATTAATGATTATACAGTAGCTATATGGGAGTAGTGCTTTCATTGTTAAATGTTGTTGATCAATTTAATATCTGCACTAGGTTCGCTGACATCAGGCTGATGACATTTTGTACAGAGAGCATGTGGCTGAAGGGATGAAGTCAGAAAACAGTTAAATTTAGCTTTTTGTTATTCAGTGGTTTGTGTGTGTGTGTGTGTGTTTTAACTGTTCCCAGTAAAGTCTTGATTAAGCAGAGCAAAATAAAAGTAATTCTGTTTCTGATGGAATATTGCTATTTTGAATGATGCAACAGTATAGCCTGTGGTCTGTATGTAGAACATATCTCAAGTCAAGGTAACATCAGAACTGGGAATATTTACTTTCGTTAATGCTTATTTTTTTATTTATTGCTAATGTTTATTTAATCAAAAGGGTGTTTAAAAAATCTTTCAACAAAATGAATAATCAACTGGATACTTGTACTGGATACAACTGGATGCCAGCGGTTGTCAAGGTGACGAGGTCTTCGCAGGGGATCTGTCTTAGATGAGTACATCTAGTTGACATGGTCTCTGCTCACATTCAGGGCTGTAGAGGTCGTCTCCAGGTGCTGATCCACCATCTGATCTGGATAAAGACTGGATCCGTATGGCTGTGGTGACCTCGGAATAAGAATGAAAAAGACTAATATTAGCGTAGATGCCATTCTTCTTATGATGTAGCGAGTACATCGGGTGTTATGGGAAGTGTTCCCGGTTCTGGTTGACCTAATTAATGCAGCCTAACAATCATTTAACGGATTTGAATTATAGAAATGCGATAGTGTATTATGTGTATGCCAAGTTAAAGAGATGGGTCTTTAATCTAGATATAAACTGACAGACTGTGTCTGCCTCCCGAACAATGCTAGGTAGATTGTGCCAGAGTTTGGGCGCTAAATAGGTAAAGGATCTGCCGCCCGCAGTTGATTTTGATATTCTAGGTATTATCAAATGGCCAAAGTTTAGAGATCGCAGCGGATGTGAAACACTATAATGCGATATGAGCTCGCTCAAGTATTGAGGAGCTACACCATTCAAGGCTTTACAAGTAATTAGCAAGATTTTAAAATGTATTTGATGTTCAATAAGGAGCCAGCGCAGAGTTGACAGAACCGGGCTAATATGGTCATACTTCCTGGTTCTAGTAAGAACTCTAGCTGCTGCATTTTGGACCAGCTGAATTTGTTTATTAAGCGCGCAGAGCAACCACCCAATAAAGCATTACAATAATCCAAACTTGAAGTCATAAACAAATGAATTAACTTTTCTTCATTTGACATTGAGAGCATAGGTTGTAATTTAGATATAATTTTAAGATGGAAAAATGCAGTTTTACAAATGCTAGAAACACGGTTTTCAAAGGAAAGATTGCTATCAAATAGCACACCTAGGTTCCTAATTGATAACGAAGAATTAACAGAGCAGCCATCAAGTGTTAGACAGTGTTCTAGGTTATTACATGCGGAGGTTGTAAAAAAATATCTGTTATAGAGTGAAGCTTGTGTGTGAGTAAATGATGCCTGGCGTACCCTCGGCTCTGCTCACAGGTCTGCTCATTGTCAGACATTCTCTCTTTAATTATGTTTTGGAAACTTGTTCAACACAGCAATTATGTGTGAAGTGTTTCCATTGCAGACCATTTATACTCCAGCAGAAATGTTCTGTTGCTCCTTTACAAACAAGATCAGTATGACATGCCAATATCAGCATAAAGTCTCCTATCTAATGAGCTCATATTAATGGAAACCATAATGAAGTTAGTGCTACTTTACTGACATGTACAAATGCATTGTGCCAAGTTTGATGTTATCGATAGTAAACAGCATTCTTGTGTGTCACATGACCCACCTAGTTTAAATATATGCATCTGCAAAATGAGAGTTGTGTTTCTTCCCTATAAGGCCAGCATTAGGTTTCAGGAGCCATCATGGTGCTTAGGTGCTTTTTAGTCCATTTTGGAGCTTGGCAGGCTGAATAACCATCCATTTTACTTTAAGGTTAGGGTTAGAAAAAAACCCAGCTTGGACATTCTGATTCATCTCCTTTTAATGTTTCAATGATGAGTCTCAGTTTTTTTGAGTGAAAAATTCCTTGCAACTGGAAAAGCCTCAAATACTATCATAAAAGCCGCAATCTTAGACAGCTGTGCTTTACAGAAAAAAAATCCTGCTAATCAGCACTTTTCTCTCAGCTCATCGTGCATTACATATCTATGGGTTGAACGACTTCTGATTTTTTGAAGTCGACTTTTATGTGATGAAAGTCGAGTCGAAGTCGACTAGTCGCTGATGATGTCATTAATGAACAAATAAGTCTGGAGCTGTGACAAACACCTTGTGCGCAGCTATGGCATATGACACAGCACTGCCCACATGGCTGTTGCTCCTATAACAGCTTTTTTATCAGTTCTTTTGTCTTTATATTCGCTATAAGTCGTTATATTTCTCACAGATTTCTGCTCATTTTAAATCAGATACAGATAAAGCAGCACAGTAAAGATTACATTAATATGAATGCATTAGTGAGAGCGATTAGAACGGCGATTAATTTACCTGTACAATAAGCTGTTTAAAACGTGCATTCTCCCGTTCAATTTCGAGCATCCCGTAATCTAATCACACATGTCTTGTGGAGCGCTTTCAGAGTATGCATTTATTTGTCATTTGAACTGTTTGGAAACGGAGCGTAAATGTGGAAGTCCTTCAAAGATTTCTTATCCTGTTGCGCCCTCTA